CTGCTAAAAAGAATTATCCACATACACTTCAGTATTATTACTTGAATACTAATATAGATGCCAAATTCCCAAAACTCCTTGTGCAGTCTTGCTTGATGAATGTTTTCCTTATCTTGATAATGAAGATATTTTTTACACAAGGGTATTTAGAAGCATGATTCACAATCTATATGTAAACTTAAAATTCTTGTTTCTGAAGGCGTTACGAATCTGGATTTGTTCTACTTGTGTTAAATGAGGATTAAATTCTCATTAGAAGATCTATGTTTGACTCTATGACGTTTGTCCTTTGATTCTCATCTACTTGTCACATGCAATTCTGCTAATTTCTTATGGTATATACATAGATATTAACACCGCCAAAGTCTCCTGAGAGCCCAAATTCGTATCTATATAATATTATGATAAACAATTTCTTTCCACAGGCATGGAGCAATGGCAGGATACGTTCTGTCCTTCATCGAGTCACAATTTCATCAGAAATGCCAAGATACTCAATTGGATTGTGTTGTTACAAGAAAGGGATGTTGGAAGCACCAGAACAGCTAGTCGATGAGCACCATCCTTTACTGTTTAAGCCATTTGATAATCTTGAATTGGTTTCATTGGCCTACACAGAAAGGGTGGTCGTAGTTGAAGATAAGCTCAAAGTCCTTTTGGCGCTCAAGGAATCCATTTGTCCATCTTAAGTGTTGCTTGCGGATGCATTACCCAATTTACATGATATACAATTCGAGCCCATAAACTACATATGTATGGGATACATGTTTGTGAATTCAACTCTTTTTTTATATAAAAAAAAAAACAAAAGGATGTATTAATCGATTAGATTACTGGAAATCGTCTAACACCAACTGTTCGACAAAACTCGGGGGAGGGGGGGGGGAGAGGATTTCCAAGGAGATTCAAGTAGGTTGGATGATTTAGCAAAATTTGCTAAACTATACACAACCTTATTTGCATCTCTAGGAATCCGTGCTACATTCACAATGTGTTGGTCTAACAAGGAAATGTGGATATCCTCAATTACAGTTCCTAAGTCGGAGAGGATCTCATCTGAGCTGCTAATCTGATTTATAACTGAGGACGCATCTCCTTCGAGAATGAAGCTGGGGATCATCAATATCTTAGCAAGCAAAACCGCTTCCCTTGCAGCAAGAACCTCTGCCAATTCTGCACTAGTTAGGAGGTGCGCTTTCTTGGATAAGCCAGCAATGAACTGACCATCATAGCTATGGATAACCACACCGATACCAATAACTTGGTGAATTGTTGATATAGAAGCATCAAAGTTGATTTTGAAATGAGGAGCGGGAGGTAAAGACCAAAATGAAGATTGCCTTGGTGACTGGATGGTTGGGGAATGAGAGGTAAATTCAGCTCTTAATTGTGCTTCAATTTGCATGCTTTTAGTCTGGTTATTTCGGCATGCATAATTAATTGGGCAAGTATGGTTTGCACTTGAGAATCAGAATTGTAATGGTAACAAATGATATTTCAGTTCTAATGGTTGGATCAACTTAGCTTATCTGTTAGTATTCTTGTTTAGTTTTGTTGAATGGCAATCAATTGACTCATTTCCATTAATTTCTTTTAGGGAACATGCAATTTTAGGTCCAACCTTAATATGTCGTCGACATAGATTAGTCCCAGATATGTGATAAGTAAAGATGGTTGTGAGGGATGGTTGACATAGACGGTTGTGATAAGTAAAAATTATTTTGTCGCCTGCTTATTTTGAAGGGTGGGTTGGATCAGTTACGTGATGGGTTACCTTTATATTGGGTAGCAAAAACTCAAATATTTTTTTGGGTGGGTTGGCTTTTTAGTTGGGCTCTCACAGGCCCAAATTAACCAAATACAATAAAAATGAAAAGAATCCGGCACAATGAACTATTGTCTTTTATATCCTAAATATTTTCTTGTTATTTAGAGTCAACTAAAATATCAATTTTTCAATTTTTGGAAATCGATGAAATGTTGAAATTGGGTCTTAAAACCTAATGAAAGAACACATAAACGTCTAATCACTGGCTTTGGATGAATGCTTGCTGTTACCGAGCCATTGGGCATATAGCCGTATTCTCTATCTTAATTAGCACTTAGAATTGCAATGCAAGCTGCTGGCTGGAGATTTACGGGATTACCAAATGCTATAGCATTTTGGTAGTTCTTCCCGTTTTAAATGTACATGCTTCCTGCCATCTGAGAGATCCACACCTTGACACTCAACAAAATTGATCAGAGTTTAGACAGCTGAATCTTCTACAAACTCATGTTGCGGGAGTTGCTCCAGCTTGCTCATGCATGCATGAAAGTTTCTTCATTTGTGTCAGCTCCTAATCAGTAGAGAAAAAAAGGAAGAGCTCAGCAGCCTTTTTCCTTTGAGGATATCCTGAAATTTCTCATTGGTCGTAGAACTGTTACCCATGCAAGATTCTAGGACATTTGATCTCAAATTACTGCTTTTTTCAGTAAACGGTAACAACACACACACCCAACTAATTTAGATAAATGCAGGAGTTAATGGTCCCTATGGACCTTAAATCCAGAGTAAAGACCCCACGATCTTTCGATGTGGGATAGGGAGGATCTCAAATTACTGTTGTTTTTCTCTCTTTTTTTTTTGTTTTAAGGATAAAATGATGGAGCTTTAATATGTTTGGCATGCCGGAAAAAATGGTCCATATATCTTAGGATTAGACAACTGTGCGCCTGTTAAAAGAGTTTTGAGGAACTTAAGAAGTACGTGTGTGTTCACATGCATGGAAGTGTTTTTAGTATGTGAAATTATATTTATATACGTGAAAATGAGCTTATGTGTGTCAAAAAAATCATTTTGTGGGTGTAAATATGTATGACGGAGTATTATGTATCAAAATAAATAAAAGGGTAAAATATTACAATCAACCCTCTTGTGGTTTACATAAAGGTCAAGAAATCTCATTCTTATTATTTGAAAACAGCCAAAAGACCGCTTGATGATTTGGACTAATTTGGGAGAAGGACAGAAACCATCTAAATTACGGAAGCATGTAAAATTCTTATACTAACCTTGTTTTCAAACTATACCAAAAGTTGGTTAAGGAGTCAATTAAAATTTTAACAACTTTCTTGAATCCATTAAGAATAAAGTAAAATGTAGGGCTTAATTAAAATTATATTTTTGAAAAATAAGCTAATCCAAAAACGGATTCATTCGATCTAGCGGACACCACGAAGGTCGCTGCTTCCATCATGGTCATCCCATCTTCATCATTGAATCGTCACCATCTTCATCAGCCATCTCCACCACCGCCTCCCTAGGTCATCTTCGTCATTTTTACCATCATCATGTGTTTTTTGTGTTAAATTGATGCTATAAATTCAATCTATGGCTCCTAAGGATGATTTTAGTATCAATTTTACTAAATTTAGTGGTAATCTAGTGGAAATAGAGGACTAGACCTATTTTGATTGTAGGCTTTTTGAACTACTTTCTGGCCATTTTCAGCCAAGTTGGTTGCCATAATTCAGATCTACGTCAAAAATAGAATTTGAATTGAGGAATTTGTGAAGTTTTGATCTAACAGTGATGGAAGCGGTGGCGCCAGGAGGTTGACGGTGGTGACAGTTGGTGGCTCATGGCGGCAGCATCTCCATTATTGCATCTTGGATTGTTACATGGATTAGATTGGGAGCAAAAATGAAAATTAAAACTAAAAAGATAAAAGAAGAAAAAGGAAAGATAATGTTCTGGTCCGTAAGTAGGAGAAAGGGAAAGAAAAAAAAAAGACAAAAGAAAAAGAGAGAAGGAAGAGAAAGAAAAGAAAAGAAAAGGAAAGTAAAATAAAGGGGAAAGAAAATGCACGTTTCTGACTCCCGGTTTCAATTCAAAGCAAGAGAGAAGGAAAGCAAAAGAAATAATAAAAAAAAAAGGAAAGAAAACAAAAGAGGGTATTTTCGGATGAAAAGTTTCAACTTTTAGGCAAAACATTGCAACGGACAATCATATTTACGTATTAGGCGAGTGTGGTTCACTTTTCGTATTTTTCGTCCAAATTTCAATTTAGTCCAAAGCATAGGATATATTAATGGGTGTTTTCGAATATTAAGAAGGTTTCTTAATCATTATGTAAATTACAAGGGGATTTACTATATTTTATCCTAAATAAAAGAATAAGTTAGATCATATTTGAATCATGAATTTTTGTTAATGTAGTGTGACCCAAATATGAGCATCAACTAGGAGTGTGCAAAATCAAAAAATTTTGATTTACCGACCGAATTCGAAATTTTTGAAATCGATAAATCAGAAATCGGAATTGAATTCGGATTTTCTGAATTCATATATTTCGAATTTGGTTCGAATTCGGTAATGAAGTTTTTCAAATCGAAATTTTCGATTTCGAATTTCGATTTCAATTTCAAATTCGTTTTTAATATATAAATATATTTTTTATATATGTAATATAAAATTTATATAATATAATATAATATAAAATTTATATAACATTATATTATATAAATATAATAATATAAATATAATAATATAAATTTTATATTATATAATAAATTTTATATTATATAATAATATATAAATTTTTCCGAGGTGAAATCGGAATTCACCGAATTCCAAATTGAATTCGGTACGAATTCGAATTAGGAATTGGTGAATTCGAAATCGAATTCGGTCAAATTATCAGATACCAAAATTTCAAAAAATTCCGAATTCAAACTTTCGATTTACCGATTTCAAATTCGATGCATACCCTAGCATCAACCCATAAAGATTCTTTAGATTTTTGTGGGATGAAAAATCAAGAATTCGGCCCTTTAGTCTTATCGATTGATACGTAGCTTTTTGAAATCCAGCATCCCTTCTAGTTCCCAATGGTCTAATTGGATCTATCCTTCTTTCATAGCGTAGAAATATGAGTGGTGTAGGTATAAATGGTTGACAACTCAACACGAACCAGCCAAAAAATCGCTCAACTCGTCCAATTTTCCGGTCTACTTGCCAGTTGTATAACAAGACTTTCGTATTTTTCCTTTGAAAGGAGCAGTTCAAAGAAACGTATTCAACCGGCTAAGGAACTTATTCAACAAGTCTTTGTCAGCAATAATTCAGCTGTTAAACTACTTTCCTCTTTGCCATTTTTAATCTGCAACAACTAAGATACACTGCTCAAGGCCGAAGTTATGGCCACCCAAACTCCAAGCCTTCCTCGCATAGATTTTAGCAGTGAAAACTCAGAACCTGGCACAAGTTCTTGGCTATCCACAAGCAAGCAGGTCAAGGATGCACTTGAGAATCATGGGTTTTTTCTGGTAACTTACGACAAAATTTCTTCAGAAGTCAAGAATGCATTTATCTTAGCAATGAAGGAGTTCCACGATCTTCCCGAGGAGCAAAAAAGTCGGTTCACTTCAGATAAGCCTTATTTGGGTTATTTTGGGCAAGCTCGTGATGGTAAGCCTCCTATTCTTGAACTTGCAGCCATCGGAGATCCAACTAGTATACAAGCTGTTGAAGGTTTCACAAATCTCTTTCGCTCCTCTGGGAAGAAGGACCATTTAAGGTACAACTTAAAACTTTTTTTTGGGATGAAATACATTTTACTTCCCTGTGATTTAGAGATTTTTCATGTAATTTCTATAATTTCAAAAGTTATATATAACCATTTTCATAGTTTGAATTAAAGTGTCAAATTTATAAAAAAAATCCTCCGTAACGAAATTCAAGAAAATGTCAAGAATATCCTTGTTTAAAATTTAAAATGACTAAAATGATCAACATGCATAATCGTAATATATACAATACTTTAACGTCTTATGATTTTGTATTTTACTAGATAATCTTCTTAAAGTTTATTTTTTATCACATAATCCCTTTTGTGGTTTTTAAAATATATACATAAATCCCTGTAGTTGATTGATAATTTTCAACTTTACAGAGGAGTACTTTTGATATTATAGTTGAATTTGTTATGGAATGCAAATGCCGTAATTTTGATACTTTAATTCAAACTATGAGGCGGTTATATATAGTTTTTTAAACCACAAGAGGATTATGCGAAAAAATGCTAAATCACATGGGAGTAAAGTGTATTTTATCTTTTTTTTTTTTGGTACTTCATCATGCTTGAGTAAAATAATTTAGCTAAACACACACATCCACACATACTAAAATATATATAGTAATGGAAAAAGTTGTTGTACTTGTGGACTTAGAAAAAAAAAATCAATGTAATCGGAAAGGTTATAAACATAAGCGACGTATATGAAATTAGAAGAAGGTAAATGTAATTTTTATAAGGGATAACTGCCAGATCCTCCGTTGAGGTTTTTGACAATTTAACTTGTTAAGCATGTGGTTTACATTATTACATGCTAAAATGCTAAATGTTGTCTCTCCAATTTAACTTGTCTCTCCTGTTTTGAGTTCATACAAAATGCTAAAAACTATTTTTTACTGCCAAATTATCCTCGAATGGCTATGAAAAATTGATAAAACAATTCAAATGCAAAAGGGTGTGACTTAAAAAAGTAGGGAAAAAAGTTGAATTTGAAAGGATGGAAAGAGTTATGAAGCTATGAGAAAGTTGTGAAGAGAATTAAATGTGCAAGTCTTGATGCTTGGAAACACGTAGGCCCAAAGAAACAAGAACAATAAATTTGACTTTTAAAAAGCGATAGCAAAAAATTAAATTTAGAAAACTTTATCCTCATAAGCAATAATGAAACGTTGGTCAAATGATCCCGTTTCTTTGCATCAAATGAATGTCCTTGCATGCCCAAGAAGGTTTTGGTAAGTAGTACTTCCGAGCATCAACATTTAGAATTTTAATTCTCCTACTTCATCAAAGAATTTTACAACGTGCCCTAATAAACTCTCAAGATCATCTCTTTTTCTTTTTCCCATGCGTTTCAAGTTCTTGCTTTTTTTTTTTTTTTTTTAAAAAAAAACTTTAAATTTGTTATATTAGTTTGTAATTAGTAATTTAAGTGATAATTTAGAAAAGTCAATAATGGCTTCTAGCATTTTACATGATTTTTTTTTCTATTATAGATGATGGGTTGTATTGGTTACATTAAAATTAAACCGATAAAACTCAACATAGGAGTGGCCAATGCTGCATTGAAAACTCCAGGGGTTCCAACTGACATTATCAAAATTCTCAGGAGAGGATTATGAAATTATCCCTTTGAAAAGGCAAAAGAAAAGAGTCCCCACATTTATGATAAATCTCATTAAAATGTCATTGTAGTAACATAAGTTTTCTCTTTTTTTTTTATTTTTTTATTTTGTGTGCTTTCAAATTAACGATCAGGGAAATCATCCTTTCCTACACAAAGCAAGTGGCAGAATTGCATGAGCTGATACTCAAAATGGTACTTGAAGGCTATGGTGTTGAGAAATACTACGAATCTCTCAAAGAATCATTGGCTTATATATGTCGAGTAAACAAATATAGAGCAACAGAGCCGAATGAAAGAGATGTAGCTGTGGTTCCTCATACAGACTCGAGTTTCATGACCATACTTGATCAAAATGAAGTCAATGGTTTGGAGGTCAAGTCCAAGGATGGAAGTTGGGTTCCGGTTGATTTTCCTCCCTCATCCTTCGCCCTGGTTGCTGGTGATGGATTATTGGTAGGCTGCATTTTCCAAGTATTTATTAATTTGATGAATGCATTTATGATTGATCTCTTCTCACATTTTCGTAGGATTAGGATTCTTAATTTGTTTACGTAGTGGAATTGGTTAATGGCTCAGTTTCTTAGTATTAAATGCTACTCCCACCCACCTTCCCGAAAAGATTGTCACTTTTCTTTCTTTTTTTTCGATAGTCGGTAACAGTCTATTCTAGATCTACTCTTATTCTTACTCTAACTTATTCTATGAGGGATCAAACTGGACCTATAGAGAAACTGACGGGAATTGAATCACCTCGGATCAAATAGGTGTACTAGACACCCGTTTGGATTTGGAAAGCCACTACTGTGGCATTTGGTGGGAGGTAACCTCCCACCCCATCAAGCCTTAAAGGTTTGATGGTGGCCACCAGCTCAAAGCCAAAGCCTGGTGGTTTGGTTGTCACTTTTCAGGATAAGTGCTTTTTTATCAACAATGAAGACAATTTGGTCAAATTTTGGACTACTTTTCCTATACTATGCCCTCACAAAGCGCACTCACTAGCAGAGAAATGTCTTGGAAGTGAGCATGTGTGGGTCAGTTTGTTTGGTTTGTTTCAAGAATGTACGTATGATATGACTCCAGTCACTCAGCCATGCATGTAGATAACGTATCCTCCAGATTGAGTGGTGTATCTCACACACTAACCATTGACTGCTTTTAATGTTTCACTGACTAGTGAATTAAAGGTTTGAGGGCTCATAGTTTTTTAACTAGTAAGATAAGATAACTTTTGTCAGGTAGAGAAGGGAAAAGATTGGAATTTGGTGAGAAATACTTTTTCATTTTAGGTAAATGGCAATAGATTTGAGACACTTTTAATGGAACAACAGATGGAGCTAGTATAAGTGGTAGATTGATAGTTATGGTAAAATACCATCTCCCTAACCAACGCCTCGGGTGGTTGGCCACCATAAAGAATTTATGTCTCCATGGGGTGGAAAGTCAAGAATGTAAATCTTACTTTTTGTTACTTTGCCATTAACATATGACTTTTCCAAATTCATATGGGTGCCTAGTGCGCCCACCTAATCCGAAGATGGTTCAGCTTTCGTTGATTTTCCGTGGTCCAATTGATCCTCCTTAAAATAGATTAGAATAGGAGTAGGAATAGAAGCAGAGTGGATATTGCTGATTGATAAAATTAAAATTAAAATTAAAATACCATCTCTCATTTCATGATGTTTTATCTTTTGATTGTCAGTTCCTCAGTTACTTGTGCAATTATTTTTGCAACTATTTTCTGATGATAACTAACTCCGTCTGGCCTGACTTTTGAAAGCATAAAAAAAATATATATATATTTATATATTAGAGTGTGTGAGATATTTTTTCTTTCCACAGGCATGGAGCAATGGTAGGATACGCCCTAAGGTTCATCGAGTCATTATGCCAGCAGAAGAGCCAAGATACTCGATTGGATTATTTTGCTACACGCATGGGATAGTGGAAGCGCCAAAAGAGCTAGTTGATGAGCAACATCCTTTACTGTTCAAGCCATTCAATCATTTTGAATTGGTTTCTTTAACCCACACAAAAAAGTTATACCTAATTGAAGACAGGCTCAAAGTTCTTTATGGCGTTTAAGTAAAATATTTGCACATCCCAAGTGTTGCAGGTGGATGCATTACCTAATTTACAAGACTTAAGTTGGTGTCCTCAAATAAGGATAGTCTCATTCTGCTATGGCTGTCAAGTTTGTAAACTTTATGTGATTTCAGTTCGTAATTATGTTTTACAGTGCTTTGAGTCTCTGTTATCTTGATATACATAACTAGTTGGGCAAGCAGGGCTTGTTTTTTGAAGTCAAGAGTTCCATTAGGAAGATGTTTCAGTACTAATTGTTGGATCAAGTTAGTTTATCTGCTAGAGTTGTGTGGTTTTATAGAATGGGAACCAATTAATCCAACACTGCGAAATGCAGCAACGGTGAGTCCTAAAGGTTCTTGAACCACATTTAAACAGCAAATGGCTATCCGACGAACAGAACATAACGAGTCTTTGGAGATTACAGGAATTGGGCACTGGTAAGAAACCTCGAAAACGGGAGGAGGGGTGGAAAGTGAGGAAGAAAGGGTGTGGCAATAGAAGCAACTTCCGAAATGAAGGGGACTAAATAGAAACAAGAGAGATCCACCGAAGAAGATCCTCCTCCTCCCCTTCTTTCAGACTAAAAAGAGGATACGAACAAAATCGATGAAACGGAAGAAATCCGAGTGAATGGAAAGGAAAAAAACAAAGGATGAATTCCACTTTCATTTCACAGATACAGGCTATAACAATATGTCATTTTATGATTATGAGAATTCTTATCGGAATATGAATGAGAATCAAGAAAATTTGAAATTAAAAGATAAAAGAGCTGCTAAAAGAAAGGAACTCTTCCGCTTTGAAAAAACTCTTGTAACTACCCTGTATATTTATAAACCTCAGTGAACTTGTACGCTGGAAAACTTTCACCTTACAGTTGAACGTGAAATTGAGCAATCCCAGCCGAGAACATGAGTTGAGATTTTCCTTGTTCTATATTATTGACGCACCACCAAGTCAGAAATGGTTATGCCAGTCATGTAATCTTTTTTGGTCAACTTTGTAAGTAAATAGATTCCATGTTCTGGACCAAAAAAGAAAAAGGTAAAAAGATTCCATGTCCTTAGGGGCCAAAAAAAAAAAAAGGAAAAAGTTTCTCATACTGAACTCAGTTTTATCTAAATTCATTTGACCTTATGAGCTATATCCAAGTTTTCTATTACAAAGACTTGACTCATTTGAAGCTCTTCTTGACAGAACTTCCTACAAAGGGAGTTTCACTGCCAGTATACCATTTAATCCAATAAAGGGAGTCACAGATACAATTAAAAGATAATATGAAAATTGCAGACATAGCATCAAGAACTCATCATCCTTATCCTTGTGCTGTCCAAAAGTTATAATGTAGAGAGAGAGAGAGAGAGAGAGAGAGAGAGATCTCCTCAAGAAGCATTGCGAGTCGACTTTGATACCCTATAGGGGAGTACCATCAACAATAGCCTCGAGGATCTTCTTCTCCAAATCAGCTTCATTAATCCATACTGAACTTTGTCGACGAAGAAGCTCATTCTTCTCCTCCTCCTTTTCCTCAACTCGTTTTGTTCTCATTCTCCAGTACTCAAGCTTCTGAGCTCTTTCTTTCAACTGCAGCAATGATATACGGAACGTCAGGGACAATATAAAGATATATATCCTACATGAACCAATTCGTATAAAGCAAACCACAACGTTCAATTTCATACAAACTGGTATTACTAGGGGGGCTTTTACATTAAGCTAGACCATAACGAACGAGGTTGTCAAATGCTCTGCAACTTCGCATAAGGAGAACAAAATAAATAAATAAATAAAGAACAAAGTGTAATCATTAATGCCTCCACAATAAAGCAATCTAAGCATCAATAAATCATTAATGCTTTTCTTAACATTAATACCATTAACATACATATGCATAATGGAATCATAGTCAAGTGGAGATGCCTCTACAATAAAGCAATTTAAGCATCAATAAATCATTAATGCTTTTCTTAACATTACTACCATTAGCATACAAATATGTAACATGCATGTCAGATTTTTACTGCTGCTATCAGTGTACATGAACTCTACATGGAAATAACTCTCACTAAACAAATTCTGGCTTTATCTTTACATGAAATCCATTTCCCTAAACTAGTATTACGAGGTCCTGTATCAATTAACTGCGCTGTGCAGTCTTATGAAAAACAAGCAACAAACAAATTTTCCAAGAAAAAAGAAAAGCAACAGATGATGTCTCAGTGGAAAACCAGACACTGATTCCATTAACTTATTACAGAAGCTCAACATATGTACACATTTTATCTTCAAAATAGTTTTCCTAATGCAAGAGAATCACTTCTGCACAGCACACTGCAGCAGTATCAGTACATGTTCTTTGTACCTTCTAGTTGTGTGATAATCTCAAAAAACTCTTTATTATCAGTCTCTAGTCCTATCCTGGCCTCCCCACTTCTCCACTTCTTACTTGGTCTATTTTTGGTTTCATCTTATTTCCTTGCTAAAAGGCAAATAACTTTATTCAATCCTAGAAAATTTTTTTTGCCATAAATGATGCACTAGCTCCAAGTTTGTTCAGATGCAAATTTAGACAGATTTTATCATTCCAAACTGTTTACAGGTCAAGGACCTTCTCTACGCATTCTGGGACACGAACTTCAACCTCAATTCCCCCTTCCACCTCCCCTTCTGGAACAAAAATTAAAACAGAAAAAGAAATCAGACAAAACATGGAGCTAGGAATGAACATCACGAATTAAATGGAAGGGAATAGTATCAAAAACCATTCACACTCTTATGTTCCTTGAGGTAATGTCTGATGAGAATGGTCCATGGAATTTGTAAAAAAAAAAAAAGCATACTTATTGGCAACCAAGACTTTTAATGGCAACCAATGTGGGAACCCAAATTTGACCGTAAGAAGGAAAGTTGAAACACAGCAACCACTCAGATTAAAAGGATACCCTCAACCTTCAAAGCTCAATAAATAAAGCCAAAATCACACAGTTAAGAAAGGACAATTAACCAAAAGGCATGCCATTCAGTACCGTGGAAACCTCTCTTTGGACCAAAAGCTTTACTTAAGCAATATATTCCTGATCTTGGGTCTCCAGAGAGTTGTCTTCTTCATATTCATAGATGAACTGCTACATCATCAAATTACTCCTAGCAATCACTACTGCCTGTGTCTCCAAACCCAGTTCATTTGGTACCGACACTAGCTAGGTGACCCTGATTCCCCTAGTTCGACCCTCAACCCCCTCCTTTACCCTTACCCTTTGTAAGGCGTGAAGTCTCCCTTAAACCCACCTGTAAACAATAGTGTCTTTATCACTCTTCACCGCTTAATTCCAGGTTTTGATTACGTTCTGTTACTTTAACCATATACATTGGCAGAAATTTGACGCCATACATTTACCACGTGACTGCAACATAAAAGATAATACAAAATTATTACAACCTATTGATATCAACTCCATTACCATGTAACCTGTATGTCTGCACAATAGCAAACTAACCTGAATTTCAAGAAAATACTAGTTCTCTTTCTTATGGGGAAAAAAAGAAGCAACTTTTCAGGATCCCTGACAGTAACATGACTGAAAGTAAAGTGAAGTTCAATCTTGAAAGGTCAACTTTACTCTAAAACTTCTGTAGGATCCTTTTGATCATAAGAGAAAAACACCAAAACTCACATACTACGGAAGGCTATTGCTGTAGAGCGATGCATGGTTTGGTTCAACTGGGTTTGGCCTCCAAGTCATACTTTCATGTAAGTGGTAACAAAGAAGCATCGGCAAGAACTCCATTTCATCTCAGATAATCACTCAATCAAAAGCTCTTCACAGACCTGTTCCTCTTCTTCTACATCCATTTTAGTTTTCTACCAAAACAAGTAAATGTGTACAGCACTTTAAAGCCCATTCTAGCTCCATAAATCAGCTTGTTCACAGTAGTTAATCATAGGTTCAACTTCAAATCCACAACACAAGAAAAAAAATTTTTGGCTGGAACCTTGAGAACTATTTCACATCAATAAACATCTTCTTTATTGTAAATTTCAATAACGAAACATAATGAGTGGTATTTTCTTGGTAGTTAGGCCTCAACTTTAACAGAAACTTTTGGACAAGAAGGCAACTATTTTCACAGAATTCCCAAGATCATCTTTCCTATGTCCTTTACTCAGTGATTCTTCAACGTAAATACATTTCTTGACTAACAATATTTCAAAATTACAAGCACACATATTCCAATTAGGCCATGCACCCATAGGATTCATGATTCAGAACAATCAGAGCCTTGCTTGTTATTTACTAATCAAATATATCATCAAATTGTTCAAGATTATCACTTATTCAGAAAAAGATTCGTCCTTCAAAACTCATGTCCTAACACTCAAACAGCTATTGTGTGATTTTATAGGAAAACTACAAACGCATCAGTATCAACATTTTACCATAAACTTTAAACCAAGTAAACGGAAAAGAGAGAATGAACTGAACCAAAGGAGGACAAAACAGTAAATTGACAACATACTAGGGTTTGTCGGAACTCCTCCTCGGCAACTTCTCTTTCTTTCGCCTTGGCCTTCTTCTCGGCCTCTTTCGCCGTTTTCCTCTGTTCACTTGCGATCCTCAATGCCTCTTTCTTCGCTTCGTCCTTCTTAAGCTTTTCGAGCTTCTGAAATTCCATTTCGCGAATGTACTCTTTGCGGACGGCTTTGACCTTCTTCCCATACTCCCGCCGCAACATCGCGAGCTTCGCCTGAGCTTCTTTGGGGTCCTTTGGGGCTTTCCATGAGCTGAGGTACTTGTCTGGCGGGAGAAACTCGTGATTACGCTGGTGATCGACGTGGTGAGTGGTGGTAGTGGAGAAGGCGTTGCGAAGGTGGAAGAGAGGGTTTAATGACGCTGCAGGGGGTGGTTCGCGGCGGAGGAGGTGGCGAGATAAGGACATTTTATCTTTTATTTTTTCTGTTTAGCCTTCAAATTTGAGAAGGGGAGGGTTCTACTTCTAGCTGGGGTTTATCATTCCGGCTTCGCGTGTAAAGTACTGTTTGGGGGTCCAACCAACAATTTGACTTATATATATATATAGTCTTTTAGTTAAACACAACTTTTCTTCTTGAAAATACAAACGAAGTTGGAGATACAAAGTTTTTTTTCTAATACAACACTAGAAAGATTTTAAATTCTCAAGAGAAAAAATTCGATAATGTCTCCTCTTGTTTAGAGTTTTCGTATAAATTTTCACATAAATTTTTTGAT